TTTTAGAATATAATAAAGTAAACAAGTATAAGCTCGTGAAACGAGCTAACAAAGATCAAGAAACATTTTCCTGTTCTGTTGAGGAAAAAAAGATAAAGGCTTCGATATCAAGAGAGAGGATTAATATCTCGGCGTCGCTCCATACTCCAATAGAAAAATGAATATTTCATTTTTTGACATAATTTGATTGAGAAACTACTTGATTCTCTCTGAAGATTAATTCGAATCGTAGTCAAGGTAAATTCATATTTTTGTTGATATTAACTACAGAAAAGTGATCAAAATACGAAATATCTGACAGCCAATTGTGATATGCGATCAAAATGAAAACCTGATTCTTTTCTTTTTTTTTCTATTGAAGAGAGAGAGAGTATGTTAATTTAGTGGATAATCTTCAGTTTCGTAGTATTCTTTTGAGACTACAAGAACGTCTCAGTGATAATGATCGAAAACGTTTACATTTTTTCCTTGGTAATGATATTCCACGACGAATTCGTGGTGATGCAACACTAAGTGGTACTCTAAGTCTATTGGAATCATTATTAGATCAAGAAAAAATCAACGAACAAGATTTCACTTATCTTGTCAAAGCATTTGACGAAATTCAATGTATTGATGCAGCAAATCTCTTACGAAGTAATTTTCTTTTACGCTTTATGTGATTGATCAGTTTATTGTTTTGTTCGATTTAGAACATATGAAACAGCTCCAATCGAATGGTCAAAATGAACTAGTTCAAAGTCCCGCATCAATCATGCCGATTACAATAGATTAACTTTTGCAAAATGAAGAAGAAGAAGATAAATATAATGTGCAATGTCGTGAGTATCAACATATATCATTCTATTTATTGTTTTATTTCTCTATTCCATGCAGATCTTATTAATCAAAAAACCATCGATACCAAAAATAATAAAATGATCGATAATCAAAATACAAATATCAATCCCGTCACAGTTATTGTAAACCATCCAACTACATCATCTTTACTATTGCCACGAAAAAAACGATTAATTTCATCATCAACAATGAAGAAATGTTTATTTTTGCTC